CGTGTGGGGCCACCCAAGGCGGACGGGTCATGGTGGAGAGGTCTGACAGAATGTGGTCCCCTGGAGAAGGGAATGGCAAACCACTTCAGTATTCTTGCCTTGAGAACCCCATGAACAGTATGAGAAGGCAAAATGATAGGATACTGAAAGAGGAACTCCCCAGGTCGGTAGGTGCCCAATATGCTACTGGAGATCAGTGGAGAAATATCTCCAAAAAGAATGAAGGGATGGAGGCAAAGCAAAAACAATACCCAGTTATGGATGCGACTGGTGATAGAAGCAAGGTCTGATGCTGTAAAGAGCAATATTGCATAGGAACCTGGAATGTTAGGTCCATGAACCAAGGCAAATTAGAAGTGGTCAACAGGAGATGGCAAGAGTGAATGTCAACACTCTAGGAATCAGTAAACTAAAATGGACCAGAATGGGTGAATTTAACTCAGATGACCATTATATCTACTACTGTGGGCAGGAATCCCTTAGAAGAAATGGAGTAGCTATCATGGTCAACAAGAGAGTCTGAAAGGCAGTACTTGGATGCAATCTCAAAAATGACAGAATGATCTCTGTTCATTTCCAAGGCAAACCATTCAATATCACGGTAATCCAAGTCTATGCCCCAACCAGTAATGCTGAAGAAGCTGAAGTTGAACAGTTCTATGAAGACCTACAAGACTTTTTAGAAATAACACCCAAAAAAGATGTCCTTTTCAATTTAAGGCACTGGAATGCAAAAGTAGGAAGTCAAGAAACACCTGGAGTAACAGGCAAATTTGGCCTTGGAGTATGGAATGAAGCAGGGCAAAGGCTAATAGAGTTTTGCCAAGAGAATGCACTGGTCCTAGAAAACACCCTCTTCCAGCAACACAAGAGAAGGCTCTACACATGGACATCACCAGATGGTCAACACCAAAATCAGATTGATTATATTCTTTACAGCCAAAGATGGAGAAGCTCTATATAGTCAGCAAAAACAAGACCTGGAGCTGACTGTGGCTCAGATCATGAACTCCTTATTGCCAAATTCAGACTTAAACTGATCTTCAAAACTCATCTTCAAAACCTAGACAGAATGCCACTTCCTTAATGAAAAATTTCTTCCTAACCAAACATAATTTCTTTCGATTCTAGATTCTCATGCCTCGTGCCAGTTTCTGTCATAAATTAGAAATCTCTGAATGAATTTCTTGTATCCCCTGCTAAACTATTACTTTTTTAAAGTCTGTGCTATGCTTTGCTTCAGTTATTTCAGTCACTCAGTCAGGTCTGACTCTTTGTCACCCCATGGACTGTAGACCATCAGGCTCCTCTGTCCATGGGGATTCTCCAGGCAAGAATACTGGAGTGGGTTGCCATGACTCCTCCAGGGAATCTTCCCAACCCAGGGATCGAACCCAGGTCTCCTGCATTGCAGGCAGATTCTTTACCATCTGAGCCACCAGGGAAGCCCATGAATACTGGAGTGGGTAGCCTGTCCCTTCTCCAGTGGATCTTCCCAACCCAGGAATCAAACTGGGGTCTCCTGCATTGCAGGCAGATTCTTTACCAGTTGAGCTACCAGGGAAGCCCTTTTTAAATTCTATACCTACTTTATTTATCAAAACTATGCTCTTCAGTACCTAGCACATTGTCAGCAGTTAGTATATTATTAATATGCACTTGTTAATGAGTAAATGACCTCTTTTGAAAAGGAGAGGTAAAAAGGAAATCTGTGTACTTTTTCTTAAAGAAATAGGGACACAGAGGGAAAAGATATAATTTTGTCCATCTTCTCAATGTACCCTGAATCAGATGATTGTTGAATATCATAAGTGTTTTTAAGGCAAATATGCTTTAAAACTAAGCTATAAATTAAAACAAAGAAACAGCTTTTTTACATCTCCAGGTGACTAATGTATGCCTTTTATAATGTTAATGCAACCTGAAGTCCTCTCTGTGCAGGAAGATTAATACATTACATGGTGAATAGTTACAGAAACGATCATGCTCACTGATGCTGGGGCATTTTTGAATATTGATGAGCCTCCGTTTCCACATTTTTAAGGTAGAAATAATCTTCAGCCTTACGTTTTTCACAAGTTTGTTGTAAGAGATTAAAAGATAATGTAAGTGATAGCACTTAGTAAATTATAAAGTTCTATGTAAGGGCTGCTGTCTATGGGGTCACACAGAGTCAGTCACGATTGAAGTGACTTAGCAGCAGTAACAGCATGTAAGAGTATTGGAGGGAGGGCAACATAAGGGAAATTAAAATAATGATATGAATAAAAGACAGAATGCATGACTAAATGACTACAACACATCAGATTCTTTAGGAATTTATATAAAATGTTTTATGAATTGCTTGAAGCCAAGAAGGATTTCGCTACGCAATAACTTAAGTTTCCATCACAAGACACAGTAACACCACAGGAACAGATCTTAAAAGATTACTGAATTATTTCTCTGCTTTGCATCATTCAGTCACTAAATCATGTCTGACTCTATGCAACCCCATGGACTGCAGCACACCAGGCTTCCTGGTCCTTCACTATCTCCTGGAGTTTGCTCCAGTTCATGTCAATTGAGTTCATGATACCAGCCAACCATCTCATGGTTTGTTGCCCCCTTCTCCTCCTGCCTTCAATCTTTCCCAGCATCAGGGTCTTTTCCAGTGACTCTGCTCTTCACATCAGGTGACCAAAGTATTGGAGCTTCAGCATCAGTCCTTCAGTGAATATTTAGGGTTGATTTCCTTTAGGATTGACTGGTTGATCTCCTTGTTGCCCAAGGGACTCTCAAGAATCTTCTCCAATACCACAGTTCAAAAGTGTTGATTCTTCGGCACTCAGCCTTCCTTATGCCCCAACTCTCACATCAATGCATGACTACTGGAAAAAGCATAGCTTTGACTCTATGGACCTTTGTTGGCAAAGTAATGTCTCTGCTTTTTAATATTTTGTCAAGGTTTGTCATAGGTTTTCTTCCAAAGAGCAAGCATCTTTTAATTTCATGGCTGCAGTAACCATCCACAGTGATTTTGGAGTCCAGGAAAATAAAGTCTGTCACCGTTTACCCATCCATTTGCCATGAAGTGATGGGACTGGATGCCATGATCTTAGTTTTTTGAATGTTGTATTTTAAGCCAGCTTTTTCATTCTCCTCTCTCACTTTCATCAAGAGGCTCTTTAGTTCCTCTTTGCTTTCTGCCATTATCATCTCCATATCTGCTTTGTGAGTTCTAGAAAATTGCAAATCCAATCTGAGGGATCTTATAAAGAAGAGAATACCAGGCCTGAAGTAATCTTCAATCTAACTTACTTACTATTACCATTTAGGAAGAATGATTTACTTCCTTCTCTCATACTATTTGAGGTCAGGTTAGTAAAAGCCTGAAATCTTTTCCATCATACTTCATGGTATCCTCAAGTTTTAATAAACTTTCTAAAAAGGACTGTAGATTGTGGAAATCAAGGATTAAAAGGGATCTGAGCATTCCTTTATTCTAAACACCACCCAGGTGTTGAAATTTATCTACAGTATCCCTGCTGTGTCTAGTCTTAACCTAGATGAATCCAACTCAGGAAAAGCGATGGAAATCAACTGCTGATCCCTAAATCACTTAAGCAGAAATACCATCTCCCCTTATTTTTGATGTGTGTGGAAGTGTTGGTTTGCCCCAGATACAGAAGAGACACCCAGAACCTTATCATTCCTTCATCCTTCCTTCCTTCTTGGTCATCCAGGTCCGTGGTACATGATTAGGGCAATTAAATAAATTTTCAGTTTTAATTCCCTTTCTCTCTTAATAAGAGTTTATCAGCATATCTATAGACATTTTCTAAGAGCAAGGCTTTACTAGGATTAAACTTGTGATGAATTTTGTATTTGCCTTAGAAGCTCCAGCTTCTTTCCCAAAGGAGTCACTGAACAGAGTCTTTCTTGAATAGCAAATGAACCCCAAAGTATTAGACTCTGTTAAAGTCACTTTGACCCCTCTTAAAGCCTGCACATGGGCCTTGAGGATTATAAGCATTTGGTAGCTACATGATCAAAATGCCAAGACATCTGTAAATGATTTGGCTAATCCTCATACTGTGCTTGTAGTTAATTTCATTATTTAAAACTTATGATTCAGACTGGCAGTAGTTATTAAGTATAATGAATAGAATCTTTGAATCTTTTATTTTGGGTAAATCGCATTGCCATTCAAAGAGCAGCAAAAGCTTAACCAATCATAACCAAAATTAACTATGTTTCTTCCCTCCCCTCTGCCCTGTTCCCCAAGGTTAAAATTTTAACTTAGTATAAAAATTGAATTTTAACTTTATGTTCTCCATGTCATAATTAAAACATGAGTAGTCAAATGAAACTGCCATTGCATGTCCTATTTCATGTTACCATTATATCATTTAATCAGACTGGAAGGTAGCTGGTTTCCCTATATATTAAAGGGACAAAATTTATAACTCAAGGATATCAGACAGAAGTTACCTGCTGCAAGTGGGAGAACAAAGTCATCATGACCTTGCAGTGACCTGATATGGGAACTGAAGCCATGGAGTTCTTTTTTCAATCAATCTCAACTAAAATCTGCATCACACACACACAAGAAAACTACATATAGAAAACAAACTTCTGCCTGCCAAAGGGAAAGGTGGGGAGTATGGAAAAATAAATTAGGAGTTTGGGATTAACATATACACAAACTACCATATACAAAACAGATAAACAACAAGGATCTACTGTATAGCACAGGAAATTCTACCCAGTATTCTGTCATAACCTAAATGGAAAAGAACCTGAAAAAGAAGGGATATATGTATATGTATAACTTAACCACTTTGCTGTATACTTGAAACTAAAACAACATTGTAAATCAACTATACTCCAATATAAAATAAAAATTTTTTTAAAACTACAGTATAGAAATCAGATTTCTATTTTTAATTCCTTTACGTCAGTTTGTCTGTCCTTATGGTATATGAGGCCTTAACATTTTCTCTGTGTGTCTCTCTTAGAAGAAAAAGGGAAGTTAAAAGTCAGCATTTCCAATCAAGTATCAAGTTCTGAAGGTGGCTCCTTTCTTCTCAAACCTGGCACCACACCCCTGCCACCTGGAGGAGCCACTTCTCCCTCCAAGAGCACCAATGGAGCGCCTGGTACTGTTTCTGAATCAGAAGAAGAAAAAGCCAAAAAACTGCTATATTGTTCACTATGCAAAGTGGCTGTGAACTCCCTGTCACAGCTAGAGGCACACAACACAGGTTAGCAGCTACTGTTTGAATTTAAGTAATGTTTATAACAAGATCCAGCTTTTCCCATCAGAATACCTTATCCTTTGTTGTTCAGACATTAGGTTTGTTCAGTCTTCTTTACTTTTTGATTCAAAGGGGTGATTTTAAGAAAGTATGGTGTAACAACTTCAGAAACAGCAAGGCAAAAGCAGCTTGGAGATGAAATTTGTTCTGTTCTTTATTTTCTCAAAAGCATCTAGTACTTCCCCAAACTCATTATGATGAAATGACAAAGATGAAGACAAATATCTCTCTATGCACAATGTTCACTGTAACACACTTCTAAGAGAAAAAAATGGAAATAAGCTAAAAGTCCCTCAGTAGGGAAATGTTGAACGAATTATAGTAACCCAGTATGATAGAATATATTACTCAGCCATTACAGCAAAATTATAGGAAAATATGATTTGATGTGTGAAATTTTCAGGATATTTCATTAGCATGATCCCAATTTTGAAAATATATTTTTTTTAGTATACTAAAAAAAGAAACTGAAAAGAAATACACTAAATTGCTAACAGCGGTTATCTCTGGGTGGTGAAAACAGAGGTAATGTTTATTTTCTTATGCTTCTCTATATTTTCATATTTTATTATATACTCATGGTTTCCTTTTTTTTTTCCAATGAAAATGTTATATCTATGTGCATGCTAAGTTGCTTCAGTCGTGTCCAACTCTTTCTGACCGTGGGGACGTAGCCCATGAGGCTCCTCTGTCCATGGGATTCTCCAGGCAAGAATACTGGAATGGGTTGCCATGTCCTCTTCCAGGGGATCTTCCTGACCCAGGGATGGAACCTGACTCTCCTGCATCTCCTGCATTAGCAGGCAGTTTCTCTACCACTAGCACCACCTGGAAGCACCAGATTAGCATTAAAAAGGTCATTTCAAAAAGTTTTGGGAAATTCAACCTAAAGATAAACTTTTCAAGAGCTTCATATAGTTCTTAAATAGCTATTTACTATATATTTCTTTCTGTCTTAGGATCTAAACACAAGACTATGGTTGAAGCTCGTAATGGGGCTGGCCCAATTAAGTCCTATCCAAGACCTGGATCAAGATTAAAGATGCAGAATGGCAGTAAGGGGTCAGGACTACAGAACAAGACATTTCATTGTGAAATCTGTGATGTTCACGTTAATTCAGAAATTCAACTCAAACAGGTAATGTACCGTGAATTAATAGTCACTGTTGCTTGGGTATCCTTTTGACTGTATCCCTAGTCTATATTAATGGTTCTCATTGTGCTCACAGTTAAATTTCCTGACCTTATAGGATGCCTATGATATACAACATGCAAGTGCTATGTGGAAAAAAAAGTTAGTACTAAATATCTGTGTACCTACTATTACTACAGGCTTCCCTGGTGGCTCAGGGGAAAGAATCTGCCTGCAATGAGGGAGACCTGAGTTCAATCTCTCTGTTTGGAAGATCCCTGGAGGAGGGCATGGCAACCCATTCCGGTATTCTTGCCAGGAGAATCCCGTGGGCAGAGGAGTCTGGTGGGTTACAGTCCATGGGGTCACAAAGAGTTGGACACGACTGAGCGACTGACACTTTTACTTTTCACTTACTATTACTACATGTCAGATTCCAGGCTTGGTGTTATAGACCAAGGAGCACCGCGGTCACTTGGAGCTTAAAGCTGAACAGGGACTTCTAAGATAGTAGAGGTTCGGTCTGTCTTCCAAGGACCCAAAATCTGCTTAGGGAGACAGATTCATCAGTCACTGTGGCGCATGCATGCCTGTTCAGCCCCATCCGACTCTGTGCCCCGTGGACTATAGCCCACCGGGCTTCTCTGTCCATGGGATTTCTCCAGGCAAGAACACTGGAGTGGGTTGCTATGTTATCCTCCAGGGGATCTTCCCAACCCAGGGATCGAACCTGTGTCTCTTACATCTCCTAGATTGGCAGGCAGATTCTTTACCACTAGTGCCATCTGGGAAGCCCCTAGTCACAGTGGTAATACCAGGCAAAGTTGAAGGAGTGCCATAGAGAAAGGAACGGGAGAGAGGCGTGACAATACAATGGGGAGCAAATCTTAATTCAGAGACTGTGGTGATCTTACCCACACCACCACAGAACCAGGGACCTAGAACTGCGGATGAAGGAACCAGCTCTTAACCTGATCTCAGCATGTACTATTTTCAGGAACCAGACATATTATTCTGTCTAGGAAATACATTTTACATAGCATAAAACTCACACATCGATTCAGCTAATGCATCAAATTTTTTTCAGCACATTTCTAGCCGAAGGCATAAGGATCGAGTTGCTGGGAAGCCATTAAAGCCGAAATACAGCCCTTACAACAAACTCCAGCGGAGCCCAAGCATTTTAGCAGTAAGTTCACCTTGCCTGCTCACCTGTCGTGGGGCAGCCCTGCTGGCTGGGGCAGAGACTGTGGGTAAGGAAGGTCTAGGGACAATTGGTCCTCAAAGGGTTTTGAATGTAAATAGCCTTCATAGAGAGGAAATTTAGAAGGAACTTAGTCCCTTCTGTAGGACACCTTAAAGATAGATTGCTTAGAAGAGAGAAACTGAACCTCTTTAAGGGCCAATACCTTACTGTTCACGGGACCTTTTCTGAAGATTCCCTTCTTTAGCATATAAACAAAAGTAAAGTCTTGGGGAACAAGGGCAGTGATGCCTGAGGAATCTTGGAGCATGTTACACTTGGGAAAAGGGACTGCCTTCCAAAAATGAAGTGCATCTATTTAACATCCTCCTCCTTTCTGGGGCGTTTTTCTGTTTTTCCAGAAAGCACATGGGTTGTGTGTATTCCTCTCTCTTTCCCTGTCTAGCAGGTATGTTGAGAGTCAGCCTGTCTTACCTGCTTTCAATATGTGCTGTTTTCCATTTCTTTGCAAAAGTATCAATGGGCTCCACCAATAGATGTCATATAAATGCCCAGATGGAAGGATTTCCTAATCTCCCTGGGACTCAGCCCAGTGTGGTGTTCTGTCTGAGCCTGAAAGCTGGGATTGGCCAGCTGGAGGTGATACTGACATTACCCCCAGCTTTTCCAAAGCTCCATGGATGCTGCAAGCAGGTGTTACGAGCATTAAGCAAATCCAGCTTGCAGAGCTCCTCCTGATTGCAAAAGAGAGGGATTAAGGATGATTTCTTACTTTACAGGAAGATTCCACCTGGGATTTCTTTTAAATAGAGATAGTTTCTAGCCCACTTACAATCATTACCAGTGACAACTCTGAGTTAGCTGCAGATTTTCAGGGAATAGTTTTTAAGTGGCCAGAGAGGTATAAACTGACCGTGTCTTCTTGACTTCTCATGGGTCCCCACTGTCCTGATCTAGTTACCTAACCCAGTGCAGCTTTTTTTTAAGATGTGAGGTGAAGGGTAAGGCACATTCTCTTAAAAGCCTCATTGTGGGTTAAGACAAGCCACAATTTTGAATGGAGCTCCTCCACAATCTACACAGGAAACCTGGGCATGTTTGGCTCCTTGTGAGCCAGCATAAAATAGCTTCAGTATCTATTCATAGAGGCTTTCCTCCATTTTAGTGCCCAGGGGCAAGGACCCACCAGCAAGCGTTGAAATGGAAACAAATTATAGTTAAGGTATGCCAAGAGACTTTGAAACCAGCTTTGTGAAAATAATCTAGACAGGTCAAGATTTTTAAATGTTGACTTCTGAATGCTGGTTTTTACTTAGGGAAATATGATCAGTGCTGCCATCATTCAAAACTCTCTCCCCACCCCCCTCGTGGTTTTCTCCCTCTGCCAGGCCAAACTTGCATTCCAGAAGGACATGATGAAGCCCCTGGCCCCGGCCTTCCTGTCCTCGCCCCTGGCGGCGGCCGCCGTGTCCTCCGCGCTGTCTCTGCCGCCGCGGCCGTCGGCCTCGCTCTTCCAGGCCGCGGCCATCCCGCCCGCTCTGCTGAGGCCGGGCCACGGCCCCATCCGCGCGACCCCCGCCTCCATCCTCTTCGCCCCGTACTGAGGTTCCGCAAGCCCCCAGAAGGTTGAGGCGGTAGGGAAGTAGAGCAGGAAAGCCAAAAGGATTCGGCAATTGGAGCGTTTTCAGTGGCAGTGCAGCACCCCGCTGCACAATGCAGCAGGCCTCCCTGAGCCCTGACTCCAAAGAGTAAGTCCCTGAGATTCAAGAGTGTTTGGGGGGTGGGGGGCGCTCCTGTAATTTCGGAATCTGAGCAGCACAAGCTTTGTCTCCCTCTTTCCTCCCCATGCCCTCACCCATTCAGTTTGTGTATCTGAAATACTGAGTTTCTTGCAAATGTGTTTGTCAGAAAAAAATATATATGTGCATATATATCATTCTCTGACGATTTTTCCATGGGTGTGATCTGGCTTAGAAACAATATGGAATATTTTCCTGACAGACTTGAAAAACTAGGGTCTTCCTCACACGTCTGTAAATAATCCTGGAATCCAACTGGGCACATTCTAGTGTGGAACAAAATAGATGAACACAAGTGCTTGCTTGTGGCTACCATCTTACCGGCGCATCACCGCGTTTTCCTTCTGGTGTACCCTTGTTGACAGGGATCGTGTACTGTTTTAGACCCAAGTGCTGTTGTATCCTGTGTAGTACTAGATCTGTATTTCTTGTCTGACTTAAACATTTTTAGTTGCTGTGTAAATGTTAGGAAGCAAAGTAGCTTTGAATTTTCTCTTTGAGAGAACAAAAGATAAAATAATGTATTTTCTTTGTTTTACATTTTATTTGGTGATATTTAAACAAAATAGAAAGCCATATAACATAGCTCTGATTACTACCTGTCTGCTATTTTTGTTTAACTTATTTTGGAGCTTCCTCACCAGTTTTGAGTTGCTAAGCAAATGTATACAAACAGAAAAAGAGCTTCCTAAATTGCACATTTTTGCACCTCTCGTGCACTCTGCAAGAAGACAATGAATCTATGTATTTCTACGTCATTATCTTCTTCATTTTTAACCTGTTTTCATTTGTAATGATGCTACATAATTTTGTGGCTCCCTAATGCAATAATGTACAGAAGATAAAAAAAAATTTATAATTGAACAATCTGTCTTTCTGTTCACTGAAATCTGTTGCAGGTCATGCTCCCATGCCCCCGTTTCTAAGCTGATATCAACAAGACTGGAATGTTTGTGATATCAGGGGCAAGAGGTATAAGACAGCAAAATAGAATGAACTCTTTTAGAGCATCTATATCTGCAATCTGTAAATGGTAAAATGTCTGTGTATTTTTTTAAATGTACCTTTTCAATAAAAGTACAAAAAATAAAATCTGTTTGTATTTTCAAAGTTATTTTCTCCTGAGACACCTCCAACTTGAAATCATCTGATGAAGGATTTTCAGTAGGTGTAAAGATTGCTTCTAACGTATTTAGCATTTTCACTTCTTATTTTCAGCATATTTATTTGTCATGTTTATTCATTACTGTTCACAGCATCTGCATGAAGCGAGACTTTACTGCTGTTTTCCCTCTGAATCTCTAAGAAGTTGGACCAGAGTTGTAAGTGTGACCCAAAATCACAGTAGCAGGCTGCCAAAAATGTTGACATAGTTTTTAAACATTCCCTGAGTCTTCTAAATCCCTAACTCATCTTTTATTCAAGTCCAACACAATGATCTCCTTTTAGAGGAACTGATTCCACTCTCCCCTTTGACCTTCTCTAGTCAGCCTATCCTTCTTTTCTTCCACTTCATTCTGTTTTTAAGTGAAAAGAGCAATAAATCCTTGTTTTTTTCTGGTTATCTGCTTAATGAACTACTCTAATACTAGTGGCTTAAGATAAAACCATTTTATCGTATCACAATCTCAGGGGGTCAGTAATTCTAGCAAGGTTCGGCTGGGCTGTTCTGTTCCTGAGTGCTCAGTAAAAGATCCCTGGGTAGTATTTGGCTGGTAAATGGACTGGTATGGAGGCCAAAATAGCTTTGCTCATATGTCTGCCTGGATGGAGGGACTAGGAAGCTAGACTCTACTGGAACAGTTCAAGGGCCTTTGGGTGGTCTTCCTAGCTAAATGTTCTCAGGTAGTTATCTAGTAACTCAGGACTCCCAGAGAGAGCATATGAAGAAGTTCTAGATGGAAGTCAAAAGGCTTCCTATAAAATTGACTCAAAACTCCCAGCATGTCACTTATGCTGCATTCTATTGATCAAGCAAGTCCCTGAGATCAATCTAGATTCAAAGGGAAGGAGATTATTCACTTTGAGAAAAGAATTTTTGGCCATATTTAATCTACTACTCTGTTATAGAATTTTGAGGGAAGTGGTAGTAGCAAGGAGATCCAACCAGTCCATCCTAAAGGGAATCAGTCCTGGGTGTTCATTGGAAGGACTGATGTTGAAGCTGAAACTCCAATATTTTGGCTACCTGATGTGAAGAGCTGACTTCTTTGAAAACATCCTGATGTTGGGAAAGATTGAAGGCAGGAGGAGAAGGGGACGACAGGATGAGATGGTTAGATGCCATCACCGACTCAATGGACATGTTTTGAGTAAACTGGGAGTTGGTGATGGACAACCAAAGAGTCGGACATGACTGAGAGACTGAACTGAACTGAACTGGTAGTAGCTTTATAGTGATTGTGCTCAGTCATGTCTGACTCTCTGCGGCCCTAAGGACTGTAGCCCACCAGGCTCCTCTGTCCATGGGATTTTCCAGGCAAGAATACTGGAGTGGGTTGCCACTTCCTACCAAGGGATCTTCCCAACCCACGGATTGAAACCATATCTCTTGTGCCTTCTGCATTGGCGGATTCTTTACCACTAATGCCACCTTGTGGCTTTTATAGATTCTGTTTTCTTCCATCTTAAGTCCAGACTACGTCAGTTTTTTAAGTTGAGAAAAATAGGGGTTGAAGTAGGAGCTAAATTCTCATTTCTAAAATATTAAGGCCAGTGGATGACTGTGCAGCTGTGAAATGTGACAACAGACTTCCTCTATCAAAGAGTTACTCCAACTGTTTGACATGTGTTGACCTCAATATTCTAGACTTATAATCAGGTCAGTTTTAGTCAAATCCAGAATTTGAAAGTGAAAGTCGTTCAGTCGTGTTGAACTCTTTGCTACCACATGGGCTATACAGTCCCTGAAATTCTCCAGTCCAGAATACTGGAGTGGGTAGCCTTTCCCTTCTCCAGCGGATCTTTCCAACCCAGGGATCGAACCCAGGTTTTCCTCATCGCTGAGCCACAAAGGAAGCCCTCAGAATTTGAGGGGGATTTTCAATATGACTCTTTCGAATTCTCACCACTGGTGGTTTCATTAAACCTTTGTTGGATCTTCAGACATATTTTGAAGGAATTGTGTTTTAGTTCAACTCTAGAGAAGCTTTTTTTTTAAATAGACACTATTGACAATTACATTTCATTCTAAATCTCATTAAATCTTACCAATCCTCAAAAATCTTAAATATCTACATACAATAGACCTTGGAATTTACTGATTATTATAGAGTCTAAGTTTTTAAAAATCACCTCAGGGAAGAAGTATGAAAGAATAACAATTGATTAAGATGCAAAAGAAGCCAAGAATAGCTTCAAGCAATGACTTATAAAACACGATCAAGCAGATATATCTTATCATCCACCCTGATTCTGAGGTGGCAGAATGGATCAAACCTGAGGGGTATATTAATTTGAACCAGTACCCCTTCCTATGCCATTTCTAGTGGGAAAAGACTACTATTCTACCCCCTGCTTATTCAGAAAGTTAAAAAATGTGCTGCTTACTCTGACATAGTCCACCTCTGGTCTCTATAGAATCTAAAAACTGGTCTCGCATAGGATTGCCAGATAAAATATAAAAATACCTCATTAAATTTTCAGATAGGTAATGAATAATTTTTAGCATAAGGTTTTAATAATCTTTATTATGACATTACACATAGACTAGTATGTTCCATAAATAAGTATCTTGAACATGTGTATACCAAACAATATTTGTTGTCTATCTGAAATTCATATTTAAGTGGACAGCTTGTATTTTTATTTGCTAAATCTGGCAACACTTGTCTCAGGAGTATTCCTCTTCTTCTCAAGTACCATAATTGTTCAGGAGAGAAGTGACCTCCTGGGTGTTAAAAGCTAAATGGTGAGATTTGTAAAGGCACACTGTGAAATACAGTCACAAATAGACAGAGGAAGAAACTTGCAATAAGTAAATGTTAATGGTATATTGACATTGATAGGACCAGGGCAGGGAAATATGTAGCTGCAGATGCCTCTAACTTAAAGCTGTTTTGATACCTGTTTAACAAGATTAAAATATTATGAAAGCAAAAAAAAACCAAAAAATCCTTTTATATTATGCACACAACATATCACCCTTGAGTTGTTCCTTCTCTGCCCTAAGATAAATCTTATTTTCTGGAGCAGAAATGGTTGTGGTTGTGTAAATTTTCTCTCAGAAAGTGCTTTAAAGCAAATTACACTACAGTTAACGTAGCTGAGAACGAGAACCAAGGGATTCCCACTGGGAGGAAAAAAAAAAGGAGAAAGAACTGATAGAGCATCAGGTAAAAATCCTGTTGTGCTAAGTCTCCTTTTGGGAGTCTAAAGAGATTAACTGAGGAGAATGAGTTTGGGGGTGTTTTGACGAACAGGTGCCCACTGCCTGAGCTGCCATCAGAGAGAGGGATCGTGGCAAGAGGGGGAAGATGAGCAGGAACTCCTTGATAAGTCAGCATCAAGACATACACATTTGGGACTTGCTGGTGGTCCAGTGGCTGAGACTTTCTGAGCTTCCAAAGCAGGGGCATGGATTCGATCCCTGGTTGGGGAACTAGGATCCTGCATGCCGCATGGCGTGGCCCCCAAAAACAAGCAACAACAGAAAAAACTCACATAAGGATATACACCCTTGATAAGCACAAGCATCTTCAGGTAACAGGCAGAAGAATTTCATTTCACCCCTCTAGGTCTGCTGTATGGCTTCTGGTCTCTGCTTATAGTTTTCTTTCTACCAGATACTTGTTTTGCTCATCTGT